TACAGTGCTGTAGACAGGTAACTAACAGGTATCATAAAATAGTATAAGTTATTCATATGACGAGAAGGAATGGTTTCTGTAATTCAATATATCATTTCGATCAAATTAAATATAAGTATTATTGTAATGAATGAGAGCAAAAGAATGAATGATTTGGAGTTTGAGAGAAGAAATGAAAAAAAAAGAGAGAATGAAGGGAAAGAGGCCTCCAGCGTGAGGTTACATTATGTAAGAGGGATGAGCCCAGGGCACCCATACCCTGGCATCCCCCCCAAAAGATGCTGGGGGAATAAAATCCAATTTGAACCTGAAAAAAAGTAGTGATTTATAATTTTTTAAAGATGGTTTCACTTAACTAGAAGGGGTTTATCTTCGACATTAGAAGGCACGGTAGTCTAGTGGTAGGACGCCGGGCTACAGGAGGCACGGTAGTCTAGTGGTAGGACGCGTACGCCGGGCTACAGGAGGCACGGTAGTCTAGTGGTAGGACGCCGGGCTACAGGAGGCACGGTAGTCTAGTGGTAGGACGCCGGGCTACAGGAGGCACGGTAGTCTAGTGGTAGGACGCCGGGCTACAGGAGGCACGGTAGTCTAGTGGTAGGACGCCGGACTACAGGAGGCACGGTAGTCTAGTGGCAGGACGCCCCTGGGCTACAGGAGGCACGCTAGTCTAGTGGTAGGACGCCGGGCTACAGGAGGCACGCTAGTCTAGTGGTAGGATGCCAGGCTACAGGAGGCATGGTAGTCTAGTGATAGGACGCCGGGCTACAGGAGGCACGCTAGTCTAGTGGTAGGATGCCAGGCTACAGGAGGCATGGTAGTCTAGTGGTAGGACGCCGGGCTACAGGAGGCACACTAGTCTAGCGGTAGGACGCCGGGCTACAGGAGGCACGCTAGTCTAGTGGTAGGATGCCAGGCTACAGGAGGCACGGTAGTCTAGTGGTAGGACGCCCCTGGGCTACAGGAGGCACGGTAGTCTAGTGGTAGGATGCCAGGCTACAGGAGGCAGGGTAGTCTAGTGATAGGACGCCGGGCTACAGGAGGCACGGTAGTCTAGCGGTAGGACGCCGGGCTACAGGAGGCACGCTAGTCTAGTGATAGGACGCCGGGCTCGTGACCGAAGGGTTGAGAGGCACAGTAGTCTAGTGGTAGGACGTGATAGTGATCACAGACGGTAAAACACCTTAACCACTTGCCTATTGCGGCCTACTCTGTTATTTTGTACTACCATTAACTTCACAATACTAAAGCTCATCAGTAATGAAGTTGAACAAATACATTTGTCCCAATATATATATCAGCTCTGTGATCTGAAAACCTGTCCTATCTGTAATATAATCTTTGTTTACTGCATGTGGTGTAAAGACAGGTTTCAGAATAATCGGTTCAGAGAGGTTTCAGTATAATCGGTTCAGAGAGGATTCAGTATAATTGGTTCAAAGAGGTTTGAGTATAATTGGTTCAGAGAGGTTTCTGTGTAATTGGTTCAGACAGATTTCAGCATTATCAGTTCAGAGAGGTTTCAGCATAATTGGTTCAGAAAGGTTTCAGCATAATCGGTTCAGACAGGTTTTAGTATAATCGGTTCAGAGAGGTTTCAGTATAATTGGTTCAGAGAGGTTTCAGTATAATCGGTTCAGAGAGGTTTCTGTGTAATTGGTTCAGACAGGTTTCAGTATAATCGGTTCAGAGAGGTTTCAGTATAATTGGTTCAGAGAGGTTTCAGTATAATCGGTTCAGAGAGGTTTCAGTATAATTGGTTCAGCGAGGTTTCAGTATAATCGGTTCAGAGAGGTTTCAGTATAATCGGTTCAGAGAGGTTTCAGTATAATTGGTTCAGAGAGGTTTTTGTGTAATCGTTTTAGCCAGGTTTCAATGTAATTGTTTTAGCCAGGTTTCAATGTAATTGTTTTAGCCAGGTTTCAATGTAATTGTTTTAGCCAGGTTTCAGTGTAATTGTTTTAGCCAGGTTTCAGTATAATTGGTTCAGCCAGGTTTCAGTTTAATTGTTTCAGCCAGGTTTCAGTGTAATTGTTTTAGCCAGGTTTCAATGTAATTGATTTAGCCAGCTTTCAGTGTAATTGGTTTAGCCAGGTTTCAGTGTAATTGGTCCAGTATAAATTGATTGAGTCAGTGTAATCAGATAAGGCAAGTATCCGTGTACCTATTGTTGATTTAAGTATAATCAACTTTAAAGTCTAGAATGTTTAACAGAAAAAAACATCCACGACGTTGAGATAAATTCATTTATTGATGGAGTGAAATCCACGACGTTAAGATAAATTCATTATTGATGGAGTGAAATTCAATCTTTCTCACATACAGCTGTCACATTTAATGGAACTCTTGTACTCCAACATCTACCGTTGTCCAGGGTCAACGATATGTAAATGATTATTCTGACCTTCACCTTTCTATGATCACATACGTGATTCTGTAATATTTGACCAATCCCACGCTCCTCGCTCTCAAAGAAGGCCAGTACTGAATAACACCCAATACAGATTGATCGCAGATATTTGATTTCACCATTACAAGGTCAAGGAAGCCTTCAATATAGGACCGTATTATTAATATTGGGTTTGTTGTAACACGCCAACCTAAAAAATAGTTATCCAAAGAAACTACTGTTACATACAGTTATATACAGTTAATCTTTGTTCCTTCATCAATTCCAGGTGGAGAGTTTTACATACACCTGATTTACAGAAAAGGTTGTAGCCATTAATGCAGCTTATTAAATAACACATGAAAAACTCTATGACAAAATAACAGCAACAAATAACCAAGCAACAGTATGATCTAACATTTATGTAACATACTTTACTGCCTCCAATGATGGCCAACATCTGGTGCATGATCATGTCATATCTACTGCCCATGACATGACATCTCAGAAGGGAAGTATTATAAAGTCTTAAAAAGGTGGCATATTTGGTGCCTGATTATGTCATATTTAAAACATGAGGAAGCCGTGGTGGCCAAGTAGTTAAGGTGTCTAACCAGCTATGATTGCCAGACTTCCACCACTGGGTCGCGGGTTCAAGGCTATGTGAGGCAGTCGCTAGGTACTGGCCGTAGGTCGGTGGTTTTTTCTCCGGAAACTCCGGTTTTCCTCCACCACCAAAACCTGTCATGTCCTTTAATGACCATAGCTGTTAAAAGGACGTAAATCACAAACAAACCAAACCAAACCATGACAGTACATCACAGAAAGGTATAAATTCATCAGGTTGCCTTGCATATGGTGCCTAAGACATGACATCTCTGAGAGGTAGCATCATAAAGTCTTAGATTGACATCATGTATGATATCTATTAGACATGACATCTCCGAGAGGCAGTATCATAAAGCCATAGGGTGACATCGTGTATGATATCTAAGACATGACATCTCTGAGAGGTAGTATTATAATGCTATAGGGTAAGGTCGTGTATGATATCTAAGACATGACATCTCTGAGAGGTAGTATTATAATGCTATAGGGTAAGGTCATGTATGATATCTAAGACATGACATCGCTGAGAGGTAGTATTATAATGCTATAGAGGGACGTCGTGTATGATATCTAAGACATGACATCTCTGAGAGGTAGTATTATAATGCTTTAGAGTGACATCATGTTTGATATCTAAGACATGGCATCTCTGAGAGGTAGTATTATAATACTATAGGGTGAGGTCATGTATGATATCTAAGACATGACATCTCTGAGAGGTAGTATTATAATGCTATAGAGGGACGTCGTGTATGATATCTAAGACATGACATTTCTGAGAGGTAGTATCATAAAGTCATAGAGTGATGTCATGTATGATATCTTAGACATGACATCCGAAAGGGTAGTGTTTTAGAGTCATAGGGTGGGTCTTTAGTAAGTTAATTTAAAAATTGATACAATTTGTAAAAATAGATAAAAAAAAAAATGCAAAATCAACTCAACGCCCTTCCCCTTTTTATTACATATTTGTACATTTTCAATCGTTCATACACTATGTTCTTATTTTTAATACTTCAATTTATCTTAATTTCATTATAATTGTTCCCCTTATTTCATCACCATGACAGATAGACTTTGTTAATGAAACACATCTGTGAAAGTGAAATTTAATCAAAATATTATTGTAGGTTGAAGTAAATATTAGTTTTGTAACAACAGGTAGACATGTACACCTGTTTATCTTAATTAACACTGTGCTCAGGTACGGCTTACCCTACTCAATGTGAAATGAATTCAGAATATAGAAACCTGTATATAAAAATAGCTTCATTGTTATGGTGGTTTACAGGTAAATACTATATACACGAACCTGTTTACTAATCCAGGCCCAGGTGGGAGAAATTCTAACCAGGTAAATGGTCAAGTCCAATCAGTAATTTTCTCCTTTTTCGAATTATTTTTATCCTAAGTTTTTTAAATAAAGCATCATTAGTCCACTTTCACTGAAGGTGAAAAACACAGGTGTTGTCTCAGGTACATAACTAATAAGGCTATAACATAATTGAAAATTTGCCAGGTAACACAAGATGATATGGCTGTTCATCTTCTTTGTTCTTATCTCTGTGTAGAAATCATGTTTCTGTGCATCAGACAAATGATTAAAAATTTGTAGCAGATATATATGAAAACAATACAGTATTTTTTTATCGCAGGTAAGTGATAGTCAAAGCTACAAACAGCTGTTTAATTAAGATCCAGGTAAGGTAAAAGCTAAACAGGTAAGTGACCACAGGTATATAGCTTACCTGTGGTATATATAACCTATACATTTTTCATGACCCTTTGTAAGAATCCACACACTGTCTAATGAATCGTTATCAGGTTACGCACCCTCCAACAACCCAAGCTCCCGCCCCTGTTGCACTTAACTGCCGCCTGATTGGGTAATCCCCGTCGAAATTCGTCTGTCAATCTCAATGTATTAAAGCCGTGAATGACTGCATTCATTACTACTCTAGCCTCAACCGTGTTTACGCTCTCAAACTCGGTGACACGCCCCCTTTGTGCTGTGTACCTGTGATAACTATTCTGTCACGTTTGTATGACCTTACCTATATACCTGTATATACAGGTATACTATAGTTGTGTAGTTTAACATCTACACTACCTATATGTATATATAAGTATTAAACCCAGGACTTTGTAGGGTAGAACATCATTTATACATATATCTCAGCAAAGTGACATTCTAAAACTTACCCAAGGTATTTAAAAAATTTAATTTAAATAGACAGTGCTTATTCCAAAGAAGTTGCGGCGTTGGACTTCAAACTAATCCTGGAGTGCCCGTGCCGAAGAGTAATGTTTATACAGAGCAAGCGACAGAGGGACAGCATATCCAATGCTATCTAATCTAAAGCTGTGTGTTCAGTGGCCTGGCTGTGGATGTTTGGGAGAGGAGATAATCGCGGACTGGTGACCTAAGACGTGGTGTGACTACCCATGTGCTCTGTTATAGCTCTCAATGTGCCGGCACATACGAACAATCGCTAGATAACCTGTCTCATAAACTCCACGAAAAGTGAAGCAAGCGCTGGTGACTTTGTTGCTCTTGAAGGAACTGCATCTTCAAATTGTGCATTTCGTGAGTTGGAACGTGGAACTCTCTTATTATTTAGCTGTTCTCATTGGAAGGTCTATACTGTTTGAAAAAGTCTGTGTGAAATGTCAGGTGGATCCTATCCAGTTATCTTGTGAAGGATAGCTGACATGTGGTGTGGATGACAAAATAAATTTGTTTTAAAGCCAATTCCACGTGGAATACGTATACAACGCTCATGCGTGTGCATGACATGCCTAGTACAAGCTAGTTTGCGCCAGTATACGTAACAACGACGTTAACATGGTCGGTTACGTTGTGGTGTCCTTACTTTGGGCACTGGTTGTTGACGTCACCGCAAAGGTAAGCATTGCAAACGAGATATCATGGACAGGTAAAGAGTTGGTGAAAAATCGTTGAAGATTAAAACATATACATGTACATGTAATTCCTTTCCGTTGAGCACAGTTTGAAAGTGCTCCTTACAAAATCACTTCAATGATATTTAAATTTCAAATCAAAACTGTTTAAAATGTGAACCAAGACAGTATTACCAAAAAACTTGATATTGACATTGGTATAAAAGATTTCTGCGGTGCAATCATAAAGTTCATTTGAAATAAGAGTGCAGCTCCACAGACACAGCAATAGCACTTCCGTCTATAAAAACAAGTGTCTTTTTTTAAAACGTGTCTACTCAGTCAATAACTGATTCAATGATAGCCTTAACAAGCCAACCTTCATTTACCATCAATCACTGGTTTAACATGCGGGAGAAAAAAGCGGATCTTTTTAAAATCGGTCGATTTTACACAGGAAGCTCGTTTAAAACGTTATAAACTTGTTGTGTTCAGGTTTTGAAAGATCTTAGCTGTTTTTCAAGGATATAGCTTATGAGAATTCAAAAGATCATTTAGATTTATGTGATAATTTATATTAAGTACTTTTTTAAAAACACTCTTTAAATATATATTCTGAAAATGTTGCGAAAAAACCCAGGCCTTTATACCATGTACTTTAAAAGCAACATGGTCAGAGGCTGAAATGAGATAGTCACTTTGGTTGGTGGGAATACTACTTTACTCCAAAGACTTGTAAACTAACTATGAAAACATATGTCAATTAAAAAACTGTTTAATCTGAATACCAACTTGAACCAGTTTTTCTGGTCAGATTGCACAGGATTTCAGATTGCACAGGATTTCTGATTGCACAGGATTTCTGATTGCATCACTTGGGCTGTTGATACCCTTGCAGCAGCTGCGGACATGTAACGTTGGTACATTTTTAAAATGGCATTGCTGTTACAACTTTGGTCGTATGACGATTCTACATGTGATGGTACTCAATGTGCCTGTCAGATTTTTACTGAATCTAAGCATTGATCTTTGATATGGTCAAGAATGGTCAGACACAGCGAGGTGTGTATCACACCCTACTCTACACACCTGCCAATGTTAACTAGCACATCTGCACACCTGTGATTAACAATTTACACACCTTTGTTAAACAGGTACAAATCTACCTGGCATATACACAGGTACTCCAGAAATCTTTTTCTACCTGGAGTTCAACAAACACTTCATTTTAAGTGACATTTACTATTATATATGGGACAAGTTTAACTATATATATATATATAAACACACTCCATTCACAATTATTTATACATTATTCAATATACTCCGGTACAAATATCTGCCGACAGACCTAGCCTGAAATTTATTCAAAATGTTGTGTCAGTGTGAATTTGATACCAGCCACAACAAGCAACAAATGCCCTTGAAACTTGACAGCCATAATTGGTCATTTAACACAAGGTCGAGACATTTTTAAAATTCAGATACTGAATGTAAAAATTCTCAACGGTAAATTAGCAATNATTGGTCATTTAACACAAGGTCGAGACATTTTTTAAATTCAGATACTGAATGTAAAAATTCTCAACGGTAAATTAGCAATTAAAATACCAAATACCGGTAATTGTCTCTCTTTAAACGGGTTTATTCTATTTCAGCAATTTCCCCTCACCTTACATTTTAAGAATAACTTTAAACTTTTAAACAAATACAACAAAATATTAAGACATTTACCGTAGCCTCAAAATATATAACTGATACTGTGTTTATATGGCTTCCCTGCATAAGATTATAGCTGGTATCAGTACCCACTATTGTAAGTAGTTCAAAACGCCTCAAAACAGTTGACATGAAAAATGTTTCATGGTCGACGCAATATAATTCATACTTAATCACCAGTACTCCAGATATCAATTCACACGGAGCCAGGACATCACAAATTCTAAATATGTCCAAAAATATTATTACAAATGTACATCATCCGAACCAAACTCCCCTCACATGAAGGTCACTAAAGTCATTTACTCAGTAGATTTCAAGGTCGTTTTTTATTATCTCCTACTCCAGACGAAATCAGCGATAAGCGTAAAGATTGGATGGCGGGGTTAACATATTAACAAGTTTGAATAAATTTATGGTACATTGTGTAACAAATAATATACATAGGGGACATCAGGCTGGTTCCCATTCTGTAGCGTGTTTTTTTTTATGTGACACATAATTTCAGTAAGTTTCAAAAACTCATTTTAAAATGAGAACAAACTTGAGATAAAAGATTTTTAACATAGTTTGAATCTAACATATGTATATATAAAAAAACTTTAATTATTTTACAGCAATTATTAAACGAGTTGTATCAACTTATATTAGTTACCCTTGTTAGTCCAGATGGTAGGGTGTGGGGGAAGGGGCTTGATGTGGGAGGAAACCGGAGTACCTGGAGAAAACCCAGTGACCCCATACCTTTTCACGTCGGATTGCCATTCGGGGAATCGAACCCGGCCATCTTGGTGAAAGGGAAAGGTGTTATCCGTTGCACCACCTGACCACACGAATCTTACATATTATGTCTCCATTCTGTATCGAAGACTTATACCTAACTTCTTTGTAGCATCTAGTCATTCTTAAAATCATTCTGAAACATTGAACACGTTATAATTTCTTGCCAATCGAAATATTTTCCCACAGTTCTCAAACTAGATCGTGCCACTTTGTTAATCATGGTCATTAATGATATCAGCAATTTCACAAATCACTTCATTCTCTTTAAAAGAAATAAATTGAGTGAAATCAAAGATAGCTTTATCATTAAATTTTATATTAAATGTGATTGGCTTGACTCTTCTTCGGTTCTGTGTATTTTCCTGCTATGAAGAAGCCGAATGGTAGCACACCCTTATGACTACTGAAAGATGAGGAAATCTCTCAATCAATCTCCTTGTGTGAAACATTAGTGTAGAAAATGAAATTCAACGGAAAAATTAAACCATTTAATGGCTGGTGCACTCCCTGACCATAATTCTATCTCAAACACTTTCTGTTCATTAAAAAAAAATTATCCAGCGTGAGAAAGTTGATTTCAAAAACAGTTCGACCCGTTTCTATGGTAATTTCACTGAATTTATCATCACTTTGTTTTGTCACACCCAACATATCATTCATGCATCAAAGGAGACGTTTAAGTTTAACTTTTGGATCACCTTGACCTGTTATTCTTATGTCAAAATGATTTGTATATAAACTGGTCAAGATCTTAAAGTACATCTAAAACTACCTCCAACACTAAAGACTTCAAATGGTGAAAGAGATTTCTTGATATCAATGAATTGATAAAGGAGTCGATCGTTATCCAAAATCCCTTTAATTCCCCTGCACAAAAATAGATCATTGATTTTTATCTGGATTTCAAAAAGCTTTTTTTATTTTTTTATTTACTGGGCTAACATCTAAGTCTCTGGGCCTCTAAGCTTTTTTACATTTTTTTCTATAAGACTTTCCTGGAACAATAAGGAAGTAACACAATTGTACTGTAATGTTATATGACTTTCTGTGACCTTTTAGCAGATTATAAGTAATTAAAAATATTCTAATAAACTTACAACCATAATTTGTGGCAATTCTGTACAACTCGGCCGAAATTGATTTCATGGAACTTAACATGTCAGACAGTTCCACCGCAGAAATTGATACAAATCAAATTTAAAATCAGCAGACACACAAAACGTCTGTCGAGACATTCCACGTTAATATTTACCATGTAATCAGATGATGGCACAAACAATCTGTTTAGAAGGTGTAGTTGTCACTTTAAAGGCAAAATTGCTTCGTTAAGTTCAGTTTGAAACAAAGAATCGTCATGTCCATTAAAATGTTTGTTTCGTCATGATTGAATGAGTAATTATTCATGAAACTTATAATTGCTTTCTAGAAGATTAAAAAAAGATTCTACTTGAATTTTTTCCCCAGACTTTTCTAGCTGGAAATGTGGCATAACTTGAAATTCAAAACATCATCTTTTTTGGTGAAATATCTGATCTTTGACTAGCTCCGAGTGCTGAGAACTGAACATTCTGTAGCTTTCGGTTAATCCAAATTGACACCATTCTTCAAATATTAGATTTTGTGTTGTCCTTGGGATAATATAGCCAATCACAATATTAACACTGGATAGACTACCAGATAAGTAGGGAGAATTTGGACAAGGAACAATAACAGAAAAGCATAAAGAAAGAGACTGAAAAAATATTTGCCAACGGACAGGCAACAGAACATTGGGGTTAAGCTGTTTCATGGTTATAAGTGACTTACCTGTAGTCGTGTGTAACTTATGGCTTACCTGGCCTACAATATACCTGTCCTCGTTACCTGTCCTTACCTATGGCCACTAACTGAGAGCCTTGTTAGCTTAATGCAATATTTTCAAAAGATTTTTTTTTCAATTCTGGAGATCTTTCTTCAAATTATCAACATTCATATATTATATTACTGCATTGTACAAGTGGCAAGCTTGCACGAGGTATCAAGTCGGTCCCCTATGTAAAACTGAATCCTCAAACTTTCTAAAGTAAGCTCAAATTCAGTAGTACATGGAAGCACAAATTTTAAAATGATCTTTTTCCTCAGGTCATGCGGGATATCCCCTTGGACATCTGACATTAAAATAAGCGTCCTTTACCTTAATTTTGTTATGACTCTTATATACATTAGTGTTTGAAAACAATATCCAAATACTACAATTTTGCTTATACATATGATGTATACACCTTCTTGAGTTTTCTTACCGCGATAGAAATACTTTCAATTCAATATGCTCCATAAAACCCCTGATCTTCTGTACACTAACTCTGTCATTATGTCCTTTTTATTAAAATCTCAACAACAAACCTACAAAACGAGCTCTCACTATTGATGATGCCCTTTAAACTTGAGGTCAAAGGTCAGGTAACTGAAGTAACCCATTGAAATCAGTTGTGGGTTTTTTATCGTAAAAATCAGAAGTGTACT